GGGTGTGCCAGTGGAGTTCATGAAGAAAAGAACTATTTGTGGTCTCAACTTTTGATGATTGAAAGCAAATGTTTGATCCTAAACCTAATTTTAATCTAGCACATTCCCCTCTCTGTCTGTAGTTTTCTAACCAATATGTTCACAGATAACATATATTTTAAAATTAATAACTTAAATTATTCCAAGGCTTCTTGAATTATCCACACTATAAAATTGCTTATTTTCTCCACATGATAAACATATGCTACAGACAACAATTATTATCCCCCTCGATAAGGTCTCTGAGAAACTTAGCATTTTGATCAAAGACACACAGCCTGTTGGTAGAAAAGCCAGACTGAGTACTCTGTTCTTTGACTTCTTTATCACATCTTTGGCATTTTACAAAATTTTAGACTTTAAAGTAAAATGGCTATCCATTTTGGCCTGGCATGATTATTAAACACACTGTCATTTACAGGTTGTTTAAAGAGAATGGTAAAAATCTCCATGTGTTTTAATCCTGGAAAGATCTTATACTTTACAAACAAATGAGTAACTTTTTAATGTGCAAAAAGGCCGGGCCTTCCTCTCAACACCTCCTTGGCCCTTGTACCCTTTCACATAAAAACAGAACAGATGCTTCGTGGTTGAATTCAAAGTAACATTTATTTATATATGTTTTATGGGAAAGTGATTAAACCTGCTTTATAGACTTGGAGGGGAATGGATGGATGAGCAATGTGATGAGTCCCAGACAACACTGGGCGTTCCAGAATGTCTTAGAGGAAAGAGCAGGAACCAAGTGTGAAATATGTGGCCTCTAATGCAAAGTGTAATCACATTAGCACATGGTTGAATATTAGAGAATCAAGTAATCCAAATTAAAGATTTATCACTCAATATCCACCTAAATTTTCGATGTATTCATGTTCTGAAACCTAAGTCTACGCTTAATAGTTTCAGTGTTAAGTAAAAAAGGGAACGTATAATGAACAACACCCAACAGTGGCATACGGTTAGTATGCCAGGCTGTACATTCAGTATAATTGTTCATCTTTCAGGTGGGAGCATCAACCCTGGATAGAGGCAGAATTTTTCTCTTTAGTGCATGAGGGCCCTAAAACAAATAGAAAACAAAGAAACTTTTCTAGCTTTGGGTTAGACAGTAAGACTCATTAGAGCCAGAGGAGTCGAACTTTTCTGAAAACTTGAAGCAGGAAATAACATTAACCAACCACCTACCAGATCCTCTGTCCTGTAACTGATTGCCTTTGGTCCGCACAAAAACCAAAGCCTTGCTAATATTTTCGATTATTTCCTTGTCTCCCTCACCTCTCCCACATAAAGAAAACAAAACTTGTTGAGTTAATAATTACTTGAAGTAATGGCAGAAGCCAATAAAATTTAAAATTAAACCTAGTTGCTATCCATTGAGATTTCCTGGGGATTAGGAATTTTTGAGGACTTGCTTAGGACCACATACTCAAGGTTAGGACCATCTGACTTTTTTTTCATTTTCAAGTATCATTGATATACAGTTTTATGAAGGTTTCACATGAACAACACTGTGGGTTCAACACTCACCCACATTATCAAGTCCCCCTCACCACTGCAGTCACTGTCCATCAGCATAGTAAGATGCTATAGAGTCATTACTTGTCTTCTCCATGCTGTACTGCCTTCCCTGTGACCTGCCTGTATTGTGATTATGAATTATAGTGCCCCTTAATCCCTTTCTCCCTCTCTCCCCACCCACCCTACCCAACCCCTTCCCTGTGGCAACCCCTAATCCCTTCTCGGAGTCTGAGACTGCTGCTGTTTTGTTTCTTCAGTTTTGCTTTGTTGTTATGCTCCACAAATGAGTGAAATCATCTGGTGCTTGTCTTTCTCCACCTGGCTTATTTCACTGAGCATAATACCATCTAACTCCATCCATGTTGTTGCAAATGGTAGGATTTGTTTTCTTTTTATGGCTGAATAATATTCCATTCATCTACTGATGGACACATAGGTCATTTCCATATCTTGGCTATTGTACATAGTGCTGTGATAAACACAAGGGTGCATATGTCTTTTTGAATCAGGAATCTTGTTTTCTTCAGGTAAATTCCTAGGAGTGGAATTACTGGGTCAAGTGATATTTCTGTTTTTAGTGTTTTGAGGAACCTGCATATTGCTTTCCGCAATGGTTGAACCAGTTTACAGGACCATGTGACATTTATTAAGACATTCTTGAGTACCTGAATGGTTCCATGTTCTGTGTTCCTTTCACATCAGTAAACTGCCCTATAAAAATAGTGTTCCCTTGAGGGAAGAGAGGAACCATCACCTTGATATAATTTCAATATTCAGGTGTTTCCCTCTCAAAGGAAGCTGAAATTTTGGAAATGGAGTCAAGAAGTTTCCAAGGAGCTTTTTCCTTGAATTTCTTGCCACCAAAAAAAATGGTATATATATATATGTATATATTTATATAAATTCCTCAGCATGGCCATAACCAGAGATCTGATTATACAATAACACATAGCCAGTTGTCTGCAGCCTTTCCAGGCTGGGTAAGGGAGCACATCCACACCCAGTAGCTCCAATTCCAAATGATTTTTACTCCAGTAACTACTCACCTTCTAGGAAGCTACTATAGTCCCTGGATTATAAGAAACATTTTATTTTTGTTGAGTACATGAGGGAATGGATTATCTTATTACCTTGATTTTGGAATTTTATCAGTTGAAAATGCACCATCTACCTAATCACAAATTAAAATGGAGGGGGCACTGGAAGACACCACTAAAAATTTACTAACATATGAATTTTAGTTTGATTCCTGATTTCTGAAATGTTAAAATGTGCTTTTTAAATTAAGGAAATACAGCACTTCTGTAAGTGTGGCCTTTTCCCACTTGCATCTTCAACCTTTATTTCCTCTCTAGAAGTCCTATCATTGCACCCATTCACTAGCCAGTATCTAATCTTCCTTCATTTTCAGCTGCTTCTTTATTTTCATGTGTGATTCCTTCAAAATTGCTGATCCTCACTGAATTGTATTAGCATCTCTCCAGTGTAAAGCCGACTAAGGGAAAATTGTGTGGGAAAGTGTTGCTTTCCATTGAGATTTCCTGGGGATGGGTAAGAACTCTTTATCATGGATCAGGAACTTCCAAGGACTTGCTTAGGACCACGTACCCGGGGTTAGGACCGTGTGACATTTATTCGGACATTCTCGGGTACCTGACAGTATGTGAGACAAAAAGGTGAAAAACCTCAGTATATTCACAAGTAAAGTTTAATGTGAAGAAAACTTGTAGGAATGATATGTTTTAAAATGATGGATAAAGCCAGAGGCCGATTGTATCTTTTATGAGTTTTGACTTGAGTAGGAATGATTTTATTGTGTTTCTTTTCCTTGTTCCAAGAATGAAATCTTACACTAAGTTGACAACAAGCGTTTCTTTCAGTTTTCCCGTCAGTCTTTTGCTGTATCACCAGAGGAATGTAGAAATACTGGGTTATTAGCCAATGAATTCCAAAGTCAGAGACTTTTGGATTCACTGTAAGATTTTCTTTTAGGCCTAGAGTCTGTACAAATCCAAAGGTGTAGCCCTATATGTGAATTTGCTCTCATTATTTGGGTTTTATGCATTTTGTTACATTATTTATAGCTGTATTACCTCCAGTGATAATCATTTGTTAGTCCCTTTTAATTAATTTTTGGAATATAGTCAAAGTTAGTTGGGCTATGTTTTTTCCACTTCGAAATGTTAAACAGTTTGTGATATGTTTGCCTTATGTGGTTTAAGGAGTGAAAAGATTTGTCCGAGAAACTTAACTGAATTCTTAGATTGATATTTGAGACCTAATTTTATTTTGGAAATGGAGATAGCGAAATATTATTAGGGTGGAAGTATCATATTCTACTTGCTGTGATATTTGTTGGTGAATCTAGGCTCTGTTCCCAGCTCCAAATAGAAATGCTAAATTATCTTGCTTAAATTTCTCATCCATCATATATGCTTCTATTTCCCACTTGTCTTTCTTAATTCTTTCTTGGGATTTTGCCAGAGCCAGCATGAAAATGTCTCATGTGCTTTAAGCTTTGAGAAAAAAGACATTATAAAGTCCCTCATTTACCAACATAAATCTAACCAATTTGTGATTATTCACTTTTTGATTTTTCTCCCAGAAACCTTCCACAAGAGCTTCACTGTCTACTTAGCATAAATCTGATCAGGGCAAATATACCTCATTTTCAGCTAATATGTGTATAGGTAATACAGAATGCTTTTGATTAGCCTGTGCCCAAATTGAGTGATAAAACACACCAGTTCCAAAATACAAAACACTTTCCAGGCCAAGAAATGCATTTCAGAATATATTCCCAGCTTTTGGTCTTTTATTCTACTTCCTTCCTTAATAGAAGCATCGGTGGTTTATATATTAACAATGGAGTTTTAAGGGTTTATCAGTAATAATCTCAATACCATAATCAAAGAATTGTCCTTTGATTATTATAACAGTTTATAGACTTATAATAAGAAGTACATCTATCATTTCTATATTAAACCCATCAACCTAGTGATCAGATTTAACCTTTGTCACATGTCTTTAGGTAAATTGGAAGATATGAACATTTATTGGTGTAAAACTAGGAAGTGGCAGTAACAGGAGTGATTTGCCTGTTTTTTCTGGTATTAAGCAAATTTTTCATATTCATGCAGTTGAGCTTTGAAAGACAGGCTCACAGTTTAACTTTGACCTTTGACGTGGTGGCCATATTCATGGGAATTTGTATTCATGGAGCAACTGGATGCATTCACACTACCCCTACCCCACTAACATTCCCTGGGCACAGTCTCTGTTATGGAGCCAGTGGATGCATTGAAGTTAGATCCGCTCCTTCCTCTGACTGCTGGGTCATGAACACTTTCTGGAGTTGGTCACTATTGCTCCAGACTGCCAGATATCTTTTCACAGCTGGCTTATGACAATTTATGTTCTTTCTTTTGTCTTTTTTTCCACAGCTGTTGTGAACTTGGACAATTCTGTGGTTGACCTGGAGACCCTTCAAGCTCTCTATGAGAATGTGAGTAATAGAAAGAATTTTAGGAGTGAGTATATATAATCTATACAAAAGTACTTGCCGATGTACACATCTAGGCTTGTTGCTTTAATGTCCTCAGGAAATTTGAACTGGGGGGCCACTGAATTTATGTAAGTACAGGTTTGTTAAAATACTTGCTAGGAACATATTGGATAAATGCATGGTCTCCTAGTTTTCAAGATTGTGATTCAAAGCATGCTGGATGTGAGGTCATTCAACTTCCCTCTTTTGAACTACAATTATAGTAAATACTTCAGGGGAAGTTAATTTGAGCTAAGCATTGTTCTGTGCACTCATTCATTTCATCTTCACATGAAAACTCTAGGTATGTACTATTTTTCTCCCTATTTACATATGTGAAAATTGAATGACTTGCTCAAGGTCACGCAGCTCTTGTACTGTAGCTCAGATTTAATTCATTCTGGCTCCACCTCTCCAAACTGCCATAGTTTACTTCCCTAAGTGGTAGGACATTCAGACTTTCTTCTTGGAGCACATTTTCTTCAGAAGGAAAAAAGAGGAGTATCAGAGGAGTTTGATCATATCACAATGCAGTGGTGCCTTTAGGATACAATCCATGCGGTGATATATGAAATGGTTTTAGCTGGGGCATGGCATTAAACAACATTGATTCATGTAGTAAGAAAGCAATTCTCTTTTCATTCCTTTTGATTGTGTCTAGGAGAAAGTCTCAGTGTGACCATATTATGTCTCTCATATATTCTTCATTTTATTTCTGCTCTTGCTTGTGATCAGCCTGGTATTTAAGCCTCCATGCTCTTTGCAGGGCGTGGCCTTAGTTGGTCCTTGACTTTTCTCTTCCAAGTCAAAGACTTTTGGCTCTGGGAGAGACATGTGATGGACAGGGTGCAGACTCCTCCTGGAACACTCTCTTGAGGACAGTGTATTGGACCTGCCTGTCCATTTTGAATCTGACACTTTTTAAAATATGTGTATACTTGGTTTCCCTGTAAGGTCACGACCTTTGTAAGAGGAAATATTTCTTAAGGTGCATCAGAGAATCTATTGATGGAGTGTGGAGTTGGTGCCCCATGAGTACTGTGAGTGCAGGGACTCAGACTGAGTCATTAATGAGAGGGAAGGTTTGAGTGGTTTACTGTGTAGTTGCCATCACATGATGCAGAACTGGAAAATACAACTCGTGTATGTAGTATATTAGTGTCCCAGTGAAATGAGTATTTAAAACACAACCATTTGAAGTTTCAGAGAGTTTTCATTCCTCCTGAGTCCTCCATACCAACTCTCTCCCAAATGGGAGAGGTATATAGAAGAAGTGAGCAAATATCAGGGAAATTAAGTTCTTCAACTCTTTGTAAGGATATATGATGTCAGTGTATCTATAACTGTTTTTCTTGCACATACATTACATACACATATATGCCTGTGTTTATGTACAGAATATGTGTGTGTGTGTATGTTACATGAAGATACATGAGTGTGTTATTTTAAACTGGTATATCCACGTACAGAAGTATATACAGAAAAAAATACAGAAATGGGGAGCAACTGTATTTATGAAGAAAGCTTAATTTGCATTGGTTTATAGTATTTTATTCAGATTATTTGGCCTTTCAAAGTAAATTAATTTCACAAAATATAAATTTCTGACTCTGAACAAACTAGATACCCAGAATTTGTGTCTAACTTTGTATCATATTCCATGCAAGTAGAACAAGTATTAGCTGGCACTGGTTAAATTTGTGGTTTTCTTTTTATTATTGTTGTTAAAGTTAATGGTTCAGAGTTTCACTGTGTCAAGAAAACAATTACTTTTTTGGTGGGGGTGGCTCACAGTAATGTAAGTTCAGGTAGTAATCAGCTAGATTATTTATAGCCACATTAAGTAGAGGAACTTCACAAATCCATTATGAATAACAGATAATTCTGTATAACTTACATACAGGTAGAACTCATGATAATTCCTGATTAGCTTCCATTGAAGTACAAGTCCAGAGAAGGCAGAAGTATTTGTTTTATCCATGGCAATATCCACAGCATCTAGAGTCAGGTAGTGTTGGGCACATAGGAAGTATTTAGTGTGTTAAATGAATGTTTATATGAACTAATGAATGGAATCTGTTGACAGGCTTTGTTCAGGATCTCTTTTGGGCTTTCTGTTACTTGGTTTTCAGATATATTTTGCCTATTCAGACTGACTTTTACCCACTGGGAATAAGGATCTATATTGAACATCTGTGCTGTCTTCACTTTTTGTAATGCCTTAAGAGGTTTTCATATGCAAAATAATTAGCAGTTCTTTCCAGTGGGGTCTGGTAGCACAGTCATCATTTACTGTGACCTGCTGTGTATAAGAAGTGATAATAGGCATACTGGTTGAACTTTGAAAGGGTAAATGAGGGTTTGAAATGCTTACCTGTTTTAAGAATTCTGGGTCACTAAGGGCGGACTTCTGGGGACCTATTTGCATATAAGGATCTTCAGTTTTCTAGGGACACATACTGAGGGAAAACTGATTTTTCTGAGTGATATGCGACAGTAGTAGTAGCTAAAGGCTTTCCCAGTTAGTTGATGAATATATCTCTAACAAAGCTAGGGGCTCCCCCGCAATTAAGAGAGAATTGACATGTATACACTCCCTATAAATGAAAAATGCATTTATTGAAATCCCTTCTTTCCGATTGTTTCATTCCCAAAAGAGTTATGATCATTTAAAGAACAAGGTTTTTGAATTTTTAGAAATAGTAATAATTTAATGTTTATGGTGCACCCAACACTGTCCTAAGTGCCTTACATGTATGAATTTAATACTACAAGCACCTTACCTATGACTTAAGGAAGAAGTAGTGTTGTTACCTAACCCTTCTTAGACAATTAGGACACAGAGGTTCCCACTGCTCAGAGCTGGGCTGACACCTGGTCACCTCCTTGAAAGGTCATGGTTCCAAGCACAGAATTTCCTAATTTCCGGTGATGACTGAACAAGCCCCCCAGGAGGAGCTGAGATACATGGTGTGGGGGAAAGAACACGGGCTGGAAAAGTCAGGGCTTTGTTCAAGGTCCAGCACCACAATTTAGTAGATGCATGGCTTCTCTATGTCAGTTGTTCCTGTTCAGTTTCAATATTCCCATTTCTAAATTGGGTTTCTAATTATCCAAAATAACATCAACTTTTTGTCACTGTCAAATGGATATCAAAAGAGTTCTATAGACCATTCAATGCTATTATGCTGATTACTTTTTTTTATAAAAATGATTGTAGACATAGAGCTTAAAATAACTATGGTTGGGAAACTGCAGATGATTGTCTCTAAGACTGGTGGGATTGAGGCTAACAAAGGTTATGTGCTGTGTGAATTAAAGTAAAACTAGACCTTTCCCTCCAGATCTGAAGATTTTGCCAAATGAAACAGAATAAAATACCTATCTGTTTACAGGCAACATGCATTAATAGAGAATACATAAAAATTTTTTGGTCAAATTCAAAATGATACAATCATTTAAAAATTTGTATTTTTTCTTTTGAAACAATCTCAAAGATAAATAAAGTTGCAGATGTTGTACAAAGAACTGTTTTTTGGTCTCATTTGTGAATAAATTGTCAACCTTATGCCCTATTATCCCTGAATACTTTGTATATAGTAATAGTATTTCCTACAAATAAGCACACATTTAGCTGTAGTGAAACCATCAGCATCATTAAATTAACATTGATATATTACCATCATCTGATTCACAGATTCCCGTCATATTCTGCCCATTGTTCCAATAATGTCCTTTGTATTTAGGGCATCTTTGAAATCTTGTGATGCTTTCTGTCGCCTTTGCTTGGAACCTTGACTCTTTTAGATTTGTATTATCACTATGTGTGCATATATCTTATCTTTCAATTTACTATACATTCCCTGTTAGTAGGATTTTTATATTCCATGCTTAGCATAATGGTGTGTATATAATATTCATAATAATTACTAATTAACTAGAGAATGACCTGAAAACGGTGCTGGTTTTGCTCTTGATATGGCTTTATAATTGAGGGAGGTGAAAATTGTAAGCCTCACTGTTTCCAATGTCATACTTTTTTGAAAGATCAGTATAAAAAGTAATGCAGCTTTCTTAAAAATAAGGTAACTTCAGAAACATTTCTTCAAAGATTCATAAGTAATCACTACATTGATGAAATTAACCATTACTATCCCAGAAAAACTTTATCACATTATGTAGGATTGTCCAAATAAGACTTGAAATTCAAATAGTGCTGTTCTATTTTAGGGCAAACTGAACATGTGTTTCCTTCTCGTTGATGTTGCTGCCTTGAGAGCCCTGAGAACGGCTAGAACCACTTTTCCTTTACCAGATGACCCTGAACCTTTTGAGTGGTCAGTAGACTGACAAGGAGTTTGGGCTTTCTCTTCTAGGCTAATACTAGTTAATACATACTTCAGTGAGCCCAAGACTATAGAAGCAGTTGTAGTTTATTTTTCCTTGCAGGACACATTTTTCCATGCAGAACCTGTGTTTCAGTGGCTAAGAGCCTGTATGTTTACATATGACTGAGAAGACTTAGGCAGCCTGCTGTGTGAATGCACATCTGTGGTATACCTTGATAGGAATCCTGCCCACTTCTTGCAATCTCTCCCCAGACTCTACAGCTATTTTACAGCTAGATTCAGATTGGTCACAGTTGCATTTTAGAATGACATGAACATGCTCCCCATGGCCTAGACCTCTGCTCCCACCCCAGATCACAAAAGGGCACAACAGAAGCTGTAGTTCCAACTACAGGAAACCAGTATGTTTACCATTTCCAGGGTGACTGGGGTTCCAGCTACCAGTTTTCATTCATAGTATGTCAGATAAACAGATAAGAGCTATCCAGCAACCCCATCCAACTATAATGGAAGTTTTGTGTCTTCTCTATGCTGTGTAGTGGTGTGGAATGAAAGAATGAATGACTGAAGTTTTGTATCTTCTCTATGCTGTGCAGTGGTGTGGAATGAAGT